CCCTTAAGCGCGCCACCGTACGCAGAGAACAAGGCTGCATGTGGCCCCTTAGAGGCTTTTTCTGACTAGATTTTCCGCGTCATACGCACTGAGACCTGATCGAATCATTATTTCCGGTAGTTGATGGGGATGTAGAATCCTGCCCCGTCTCCGTTCATCCTTCCCATCGCAGCTCTACCGTTTCTGCTCTCGTTATCCTCTTTTGCCTCCTCTACCTTACCCGGGAACCTCCGCATCCTTCACCGGGTGACGAAGCGTAAGTTTGTGATTTTCTTCAAGGGCAATCTCGTATCTATGGAAGACCAAGCAACTAACCTCCGATTTTTTCTTCTGATCACCCCCGGATTGCAGAGTTGCCTGTCTGGCCAACTTGTTCAGGTCCTAAACTTGGAAAGGTTTTTTTGCGCAATTCCTTGGTTCGAGGAAGGATCCCTACTTAGCACTTCTGAATTTATGGAGTGTTACCCTAATTCTTGCTAGGAGATCATGATTCAAAGGCTTCTCTTTGCGAATACAATCAGTGACGTCAAGCAGCAGACGCTCAGCAACTCCTGTTATCATCGACCATTCGCGATCGTCAGATTCATCAGCACGATGAGCAAAATATCGGACCAAATTCTGAAAAGACCTACGAATGAAGCCAAAATCCCTAAAATGTCAGTGAAGTGATTACACCTCTAAGCTTTTTCGCAGTTGTTCCTGTTCTATCATACGATGAAGGTCTCTGTTTTCCTTGCTTCCTTGGCTAGCCACACTGCTACGCGAGCTCTCCTTGCTTCCTTTGCTGCTCCTGCTGCACTTACTCTCGTTGGTCGTACTTCTTGTGGTTTGCTTAGTTGTCGCTGACGTCGAGAAGACACTGCTACACGTTGAGCGCGATTTTTCCTGAGTGAAGAGTAAAATCTTTAATTATGCATATCGACTCAATTTCTACTTTCGATATCGGTTCATGGGTAGAGGTTGTGGTATAATAATCATTTCCGGGACTGAGATGTTTTTGGTTTCCCATACTTGTCCACTTTTAGGCCATAGCTTGATATGGAGGCTGGTACGCGACTCATGTTCCGGACATGCGTGGAAGCTTTTCCATGCTTCAAGGTTAAATGCACCGGCAGTGGGCGCGAGTCCGTGCTTGGCAACGGTTACGTGACATCTTGAACTTTGTGCATGGTCCTGTTGCGAAACCAAGAAACGCAGACAGATAGAGGACAGCGCCTGCCAAAGCATCGAGACGTGCAAGAAACTATGGCGAGCCAGGAAACGAACTTTTTAAGGGAGGGACTCCAGGGTGGATGAATCCTACCATATAA